AAATATATTTTGAATTAAAGTTTTACATAAATCAGCAGAATTAGCTAATACGACTACTTAAGCCAGAACTTCATAAATTTCAGAAGGATCAACCTTTACCAAACGGACTCTTAATTTTTACTTCTATTAGTGCAGTTATGTTTATATTTATTCTTATTTAGGGCAATTACTAATTTCTTATTTTATTTCCGGCGACAAAAAATAAGGGCCAGAGTTAGCAGTTCGTTGGACGGCCACATGAAGAAAAATGCGCGTGGAAAATTTACAGGTTGGTCAAGTGTCATCTGCTGGACCATATATAATTATATATATTCCCCCACACAAATACGTACTCCGTGTGATAAATAAACTGCCGTGTCATAATAAGTTGATCTACGAGTATTTAATTCACTTTCCGTTTGGATATAATGAAATTAAATGATCCGGTTTAGCGGATCTAAGTTTAATGAAAAATAGTGAAGCAATTAAGTGAACACATGGTAGGCTATATATATGGATATATAGATACGCTAAAGTTCATATGAATAGATATAGAAGTAGCTAGCTAGGTCATAGGTGAGTAACTTAATATTCAAAAATGATCTTTGTACCCACTCTTATACCCACTTTTATACACACTTATGTTTGTGAAGTGTTTTTTTTGTTTGTGAACCTCGGCTCACAGACAATATTTTGCACAGACAAAATACTGTCTGTGAACCTAGATTCACAGACAAAAAAAAACCTCCACAAAAATGGTGGGTATAAGGTGGGTATAAAAGTGGGTACATCAAGCATGGTTGCTTAATATTGTATGTCAAGCTTAACCTTAGCTTTGTACCCATTTTAATACCCACACTGTACCCACTATATATACTCTCAAAAAATAATTACCCCCTTTCACTCTCTTTACCCCCTCCCCTCATCTCTCCTCTATCCCCTCTTTTTCTCTACGCACCTCCCCCCTTCTTCTACGCCCTTCTTCTCTTCTTTCCCCCCTCCCCCATTTTTCTCCTTTACCCAAGTTCGAACTAAGGCAGACGGAAGGGATAAAGACGGTTGATCTACCTTGAATATACCAATGAGCAACCACTTCTCCTTCCAATGTAAAATTCAATCTATATTCTTCTCTACCTTGTTCATTGTGTTTTGTTATATTTAGGATTATATCTTCTTCTTCTTTTAGATTTTATGTGTATAATTTATGCTAATGTTGAATGCTTGATTAGGTTAGTATATTCGTATAGAATTGTGATGTTTATTTGAAATTTTAATTCAAACTATTGTATTTCACTTTATGTCCAAAAGGTGTTTGTAGAAATGACTATGAATATTTTATTCATATCCCCAATTTGATTGTTCATTTTCAATCATGAATATTTTTTGTTAATTTCTTTGACTATTTTATTTTATTATTATGAATTTTATTTAGCTTTTAATGGTTGGAATGAATATTTGTTGAATATTAGAAACATGAATATAAAATACCGAGTCAATCATGATTAACATTTTTTCTTGTGTTATAATGAACTTCAATGAACTGATGAAGCGGAGAGTAGGAGATTTAAGACCCTCAATGCAAAAAATGAACTTCAATGCATCTGTTAGGGAGAGTAGGAGATTTAAGACCCCTGTATTGGATCCTGTCCAATGAACTGATGAAACGGTAATTGTAAAGAAATAGAAGACTGCAGATGGTGTTTTTTGAATCTTCTGAATAACAGTAGCCAATTATTGGTTCTGTTGGCTTGATCTACCATAATTTTTTAAGGAAGCAGTAATAAGAATTGTGAATCATATCCCATCATCCTAGACATTGTAATCCTCCATGATCAAGTCACACAAGTTCATATAGAGTTGGCATCTATGAATGACCTGAAACTGGATTACCCCTGCTGTTAAAATCGGTAGTCCATAAGTATGTATTAATTTCATATATCTTCTTGGCTTTTAATTTGAAGTTTTCGTCAAAGGAGTTCATTCTTTTCATTTTTTGTTCAACCATACACTAGATGTTTAAGCATGAATTTTTGTATTGGTGTTATGCAAATACATCAGTTGTGTTCATTCATCAAAAGTGTTCATTCATTTAATGGAAAATTATTACTTGTCATTGAATTTAATTGATTTTACCAGGTACTTGAGAAACATGTATTTAAATGCTTTTAGGTTCTTAACATCATGACAAACTTGGGAGCTCTTACTACGGCAAATATCTATAAGGAATCGAAGTTTGTACTCAAAGTTACAACCATGAGAATATGCTGAGAAAACGGGTGATCAACCGAAGACTGGGAAACTACTCTAAAGATTTGCTTTGTTGGATGAATATCCTATTTTGAAATACCTCTGACTTGTTATAAATACAATTGTCATGTCGTAAAAGTAGTATTTTGTAATTTATATAATTGGTATTGTTTTAGAATCTTTTGTATAACAATTTCAGTAATAATGAAAAGATTTCTTTTTTGTTATATATCAATATTCGTAGGCAATAGCCATTGGAATAACTAATATGTTAAGTAGAATTGTCTATGAACTAAATATGAAGTGTCTGGTCACAGACAATAGCCACTATAATGACTTAATATGGTTAGTGGAATTGTCTGTGAACCAGATATGAAGTGTCTGGTCACAGAAAATAGTCACTAAAGCGAGTTAATATGGTAATTGAAAATGTATGTGAACCATATATGAATTGTCTGGTCACATGCAATAGCCACTTAAACAAGCTAATAACTTTGAAGGAATTATCTTTGAACAAGACATAAAGTGTCTTCTCCTAATTGTTTATTCAAGTGAAATTGTGAGAAATTTGGTCTATGCGTAGGAAATAGTTGTTTGTGTGTTCAAGCTAAAAACATTAGGCTAATCACACTTGGATTATTAGCACAAGTTCAACTCCTTTGGCAACATATACAGTTATTTTCATAATACAAAAGATAAACATTGAAAACACAAACAACTCTAGTTACACTTCCATTTTAAATACAAGAACATTAATTTCACATAAAACTAATTACAAAAATTAATAGCACAATAATGCATTTATCCTCTTATCCAACTCCGCAAGTCGAGATGAAGCAAACAATGATGGTTTCTGCAACAAGAGAAAGTCCAGAGCCAGGTGACCTACAGTGAACATGAAATGCATGTGATAATATCAGTACAGGTAAACGAATACACAGACAAATATTTTTCCACACAAACAATATTTTAAGTATGCACAAACAATTTAAATAAACACACATGAACACATCTACCCTTCTACTATCCCATATTATTCCATTTTACCTCAAATAAACTCTTAACTATAAAACAATCCAAAAACAACTATAATTACAAAATAATCCAAATAAACTAGTTCAACTTAGAAATTCACAAACAAACATAAACTAAAAATTAAAATTTCAATGAAACATTTAAACAAACATGTCATGTGCATAAAAAACAAAGAGAATAGTTTGGCTTAAATTTGAAAAATTAACATCACCAACCCATAACAATGGAACAAAATAATCATACATTTAACATCATACTAAAATCTTTTCTTTCAAGTTTCACATAAAAAGATACATAAGAATCTGAAAAGGGTAAAAAGTATAATCCAAAAGGCAAAAAAAAAACAAATTAATTATTACCTCAAGATTCAAAGTTTTGAGACAAATGGTTGGATTATGTGGGAAGGAAGAGACTCCCATAATTTTCGTGAGCTGATAATATAATGAATTGAAAAAGATTTTGAAAATGAAGAGAAAACTAAAAAGAAGGAAGGGGGATGGGAAGTGAGCGTAGAACAGATGAGGAGGGGAGGGGGAGAGGGGAGAGAGAAGTGGGGGAAGAGGTAAAAGAGTTGAAAGGGGTAAAAAATTCAAAAATGATCTTTGTACCCACTCTTATACCCACATTTGTACTCACCTATGTTTGTGAAGATTTTTTTTTTTGTCTGTGAATCCCGGTTCACAGATAATATTTTGCACAAACAAAATATTGTCTGCGAATCGGGTTCACAGACAAAAAAAAAACATTCACAAACATGGTGGGTATAAGGTGGGTATAAGAGTGGGTACAACAAGTGTTGTTGTAAAAAATTTGGAAATATATATAGTGTGTATAGGGTGTGTATTAAAGTGGGTACAAGAATACTTATTGAATTTTATTTAGAGGTACTGCAAAGTGTACGGTAAATTTTAGGTCTTTGCATGTCATAATAAAGTACGGAATAGTAAATAAAGACCATTAATTATTAGCATCGTCCTACTTCTTTAAAAAAAAAAAAAAGAAGCATCGTCCTAGCTAGCTATACTACTAGGGCTTTGTTTGTAACCACTTGTGTTTAAATAAAATCATTTTTTGGGAAAAAGTGGTTAGTAATAAAAGTTGGTAATGTTTGATAAAATAAGTGTTTTTTGTGTAATAGAAAAAGTAAAAAGTAGATCCTACACGAAAACCGAGATAGTAAAAGTTGGTAGTGTTTGGTAAAATAAGTGCTTTTTTTCTTTAAAAAAGCCAAAAACACTTATAAATATAGTTTGCAAACAGAGCCTAGATTTATAATAACCAAAAAAATCTTTTCGATCTTTAATCAGTGATACATAGAATAATGTTGAATATGGGAGAGGTTTGAAGCAAATGTTAGCATTAGAAGGTAGCGTTACTATATATTTCCGCCCACATAGTACTAAACCATGCATCCATAATTATTGAGTTGCTTGCCTATTATTGGCCTGGCCGGCTTTAATTTTCCAAGCAACACATGCATGCTATTATATATTATTGATTATTCGATCGAGCATCACATATAGACACACACATCACGCAGTGTGCGTATACATAATATATATAGTTAATTATACACGTAGACAGCTAGCTAGGTGCCATATATTATATTATTATTATTATTATTATTATATGCCGGCCAGCTGGTTGTTGCTTTCACAACTTGTACATCTACCTACCCAAGCTTCCATCCGGCCGGACATACACATATATATCGATTCTCATCTTCTATATATCTATGTATAATATATATACATATAGAGAGAGATATATACATACATGCACTTTGTTTTAATTTTGATCGATTTCAATATATACTACGTAGGGTACCGAGTAATATTAATTAAATTGAATAGATCCATCTGAGCGCATCATCATGACTCTCTTCAGCTTCAGGAAGCTATCCTACACCAAATCAGCAGCAGCAGCAAGTAAGCTAGCACAATTCCATCTTTATACCTACATGCATCGAATCTCGATCTTATATTAATAATTGCGCGCGATATATCTAGTACGTGGATGGCCTTTTTCATCGATCTAATTATTTATATTCGTGGACGTATTTATTCGATCCGGCCTAATTATATCATATGCTTCCGGTCGATCGATATATCATATTTACATGCGGGCATATAAAAAAAATAATCATATCGATCGCCCTCGGATATATAATATATTAAGCTACGTGTGTTTTATGTTATATATTGAGATAATAATAATAATTAATCATATATATATATATATTATCGAGTATATATTTAAAAGATCGAATAACATTATTAATTATTAAAATTTCCCAAAGTCCTAGCTATATATTTTGAAAAATATTTCTATTTAATTTGCGGGTATATATGAATTTTCTCTTAATATATACGAGTAATTAATTTGGATGTACGCAATATATATTTATTTATAATGTGGCAGGAAGAAAGGATGAAGTGAAAGAAAGCGAAGCTGGCAGCTGCTTAAGGAACAAGTCATCAAGCGTGAACCGCGAATACATGGAAGCTTTTAGAACCAAGTCTTACGTCGAAGTCCAAACACAGCTGCTAGCGGCCAATACTACTTGCGGTGCTGCTGCGGCGGAGGAACACCGTCTACACACCACACCGTCACACCGCCGCCTCCAACTCTGCCACCTCTTAGCTGGCGCTGACGATGATCAGTTACAATATTATTATTCTTCCCAACCTCATGACCACCACCCCCTCCTCAATGAATACTTCCTTGTCAGCCTCGAAGCCTCTAAAATGTGTGAATCCCTCCTCAAAAACGTCCTCCACACCAGAACCAACTATGACAAGAACATCAAATGCGCTACCAAAGGAGTGGCGGGCGGGCGGGGGGTTTGGAGCGCCGAGCAGCTGCAACGCGCGTATGCGCAGCTGCAGTCATTCTCGGCGCTCAGGAACCCCCTCTCGACCGCCTCGCAGGTGCGGTTCAATGAGGTGCAGGACGGCCACTTCGCCCTGCTACACCGCCTCACCTCACGCGCAAGAAAGCTAAAGAGGAAGATGAAGCTGCTGAGGCTGTTACGCAAGGCGCTCGGGGCCACGCTCGCGGTGGGTTGCGCTGCCCTCGCTCTGGCCTTCACGCTTGTCGCGGTTCACTGTGCGGCCCTTTGCGTGCTGGCGAGTCCCGGGGTGGTCTCTTTATTGTTGGGCGGCGTGCGGAAGCAGCAGCAGAAGGGGAAGAAGCAGCCGAGGCGGCTGCAGCGGCGGGAAAGGGTGTACTTGCAGCTGGACGCGGCGGCAAAGGGGGTATACGTTCTGATCAACGACTTTGGGACGATGAGTAGGCTGGTGGGGAGGGTGCACGACGAGACGGAACACAACAGAGCGATGGCGGGGCTGTGTGCGAGAAAGCAAAATGATGAGATGGTGAAGGAGGTGGTGCGCGGCTTGGCAGCACACGAAGCGGGCTTCTCCGACCACTTGAAGGAGCTGGAACAACACATCTATTTGTGCTTTCTCAACATTATTAGGTCTAGGAGGATGGTTCTCCAACAAATTATCAACTCCGCCCTCTGATCTCATCCAAAATTTATTTCATTCACATACTAGTCTATATTTTTACCTATACCTAGCAGCATGTTCAAGTTTTGTAATATGTTTTGATTTGTGATGAGCAACACGGCATGTACATGCATACATATAGTATAATGTACGTATATAGCCAGCATAGCTAGGTAACTAGTAATAGTGCAGGGATAGAGATAATTACACTAGGTGTTTATGTATTTCACATTGTACTCTTTTATTATAAATATATATAGTGATAATTACCCTAGGTGGTGAAGCCCGACACCGTTAAATTAAAAAGTAATAGAGTGTTATATTAAGATTTGAGTTACTTCTAACATGATTGATCTTTTAGGATGAAACTTCAGATCTTAACATCGTATTGTTGTGTGTATAATTCAAGGTGTAAGTGTTGATGACTTGATGTAGTGTGTGCAAGTGTATGAAATATAGTGCACGTGAGTATCTTACTTTCTTACTTTATTGTGAGGACAACTACTATAACCAAGATCACTACTATTATTATTATGATTACTATTAATATCATCATTTACTTATTTTAAAACAGCTCCGAACAACTGATGATTCCAGTTTCGAATATTGGGAGAGCAGAACTTTGGTCGTAAGCCTCTGGTTCCACATGGGGATATTATAGACAAGTGCAGAGTATATCATTTCCTTTATACTTTAAAGATATACTCCCTCCGTCCCGGGGAGAAGTTCCCAATTTCCTTATTTGGATGTCCCAAAAGAAACTTCTCATTTCCCTAAATGGAAAGATATCCTACATTAAAACAGTGTCAAATAGTGCCAAACAGTACCAAACAGTGTCGAAACAGTGCCAAACAGTGCAAAACAGTAAAATTTACCCCTCAATAACTTTATTTCCTAAAAATGTGTGAAAGTCAACATGGGAACTTCTCCCTGGGACGGAGGGAGTATATCTGAAACAACTATCCAACCATTTGAACACCCAATGAATTAAAAGACAACATTGAAACCGAATCGTTTTCAAACAGAAAAAATAAACACGTTTTGAAAACACAGGTTCAAAACCAGAAAACATGTTTCAAATCAACACTTCCTGAATCAGGCTATTCATAGGATAAGATCAGGGGCGGATCTGGCATAGGTCCAGGTAGGGCCTAGGCCCACACTCAAAAAATAATTATTAGTATATATTATATATCCAAATATATTAATGTTTAGTGTTTATGTATTTGTGGTATAAAAGTAATGAACACCGAATTGCATACGAATTTCATTTTGGCGTAGTGGAAGTGCACTCAGCGTGTAGCTTAACACAAGGTGCCGAGTTCGGATCCCGGGGAGACCTTTTTTATTTTTCAAAGCAACACTAGGCATTTTTTTGGCTAAATGTTTTAAACTTTAAATTTTTCTTTCCAAATTATCTTTGTCTCACACGGAAGAACTGAAGAAGGGGCCAGGGGAATCTTCCTTCCAAGATACGAAGTATATATATTTAAACTAGATCTCTAATTAGTTGGACTTTTGAATATTGATCCGAAAAATTAATGAGTTCATTTCATTGGACTTTTGATTATTGGCCTGATAAATTAATTAGTTCAATTCATTTGACTTTTGAATATTAGCATGAAGATTAATTAGTTCAATTCATTTGGCTTTTGAATATTGGCCAGAAAAGTTAATAAGTTTAATTCATTGTACTTTGTTGGTGAAATTTAAGTAGTTCATTTTTTTTTACCGTATAGACTATAGATTCAAAAGAAATTTGATTTCCAATAAATTGACCTAAAAATTTGTACTAACATTTCAGTAATTGAGTCAATTTCATTTCGATATCTATGACCTTAAGATAATTAAATTGTCGGTTCGTAATATTTTTCCCTTTGACATTTCTCTAATATTATTTAACTACATTTTGTCATTTTGACATATTTTTGTAATATATGTTATTTAATTACATTTTGGCCCCACCTCAAATAAAATGCTAGATCCGCCCCTGGATAAGATGACACATAAACAGGATGATAAAGAATAAATATGCCGATCAGAACTACAACATCAAGAAGTCAAATTAAACACTTCATAGGTATTTTGGAAAGAAACACTTCCATATATATTTTGTAAGTAACAATTTAAAACTTATCAAGCACCGATGAAGGTCTTGCTGTGTGGCCGAGACTCCGAGAGGTCACGAGTTCAAATCTTGAGAGCACTCTCTTGTCAAAATTTTACATAGGAAAGTTTGCCCCTTATAAACTAATACACCTTGTGGTGAGGGCTCTTCCCAGGTCGCTTGCCTTGCGGAAATGCCTTCGTGCACCATACTACCCTTTTTCTATCAATTTATAACTCATTAAAAGACTAAATGATGAAAAAAGAAGGAAGGCACATTAGGCCACAGACTGGGAGGGTTAAAATGCCTAAACAGTGTTTACGATCCTAAACAGAAAAAATCCCAGGCGGCCCGAGGAGATTTTTACAACAATGCATTGGACACCCAATCCTTTTTTGGTATAATATTGTATTGTATCCCCAAAGTTATTCAATTGATACACCAGCTTTCCCGAATAAATCAAGACCTAAACAACGACGAAATTGGTTGAAATGTATAACAGATGCTTCACAAATTAACTTAACTTGACCAAGTAGCGTTTCCAGAAAATCTGCTCCATGTTGCTCTCTACAAAGATAATAAAGTGTCTGCGAGAGCAAGTTATTGTAATCTCAACTTAGAGCGATCTTATTATTATTGTTGTCCCAGCAGCAGCAATGAAGCTTTGGTCGTCGGCCACTCTGCTGGCTTTGGCATTATGATACCAATGTATCCCTCCCTTTCAGCCTGTACACAATAGTGGGGTTAAACAATGGTTTACACACACACACACACACACACATATACTCCCTCCGTCCCAATTTGTTTTGCAAAGTCAACATTTTTTGGTCAACCAATAATAAAAGTCAACCCTCTCTAAGGATAGTTAATTCAATTTTTAATAATTCAAATTTACATATTCAAAAACCACATTAAAATCTCTTCAAAGTTGTAAACTCCAAATTAGAAAATAATTAAAAATTGACATCCTAATTAAGTGAACAAAACGAGACTGACTAAGAAAAGTCAAATTTGCAACTCTTTTTGGGACGGAGGTAGTATATAATAATTTGGATCAAATGAGAATATAATCTATGGAGAAAAATGAGAATGAACCTGAAATGTTAGATTTGAGATTGTGCATTATCTCAAAATCGAAACGTGCATTGCCAAAGATGAAAAAACTTGGTGGCATTTTTTTAAAATGAAATGAGTCTTTTCTGCTCTAACGAAAAGTGTGCATTATCTTAACTAGAAATGTATAATTCTATGAACCAAGATATGCACCGTTTAACAGCATTTTCAATTCTCACTCAAAAAACTATTCTCACCGGAATTGGCCGTATATACCACATCAGCTGCTTTGTTTTAAAACAAAAGCACCATGTTAAGTATTTCATATCAATTGCTTACTGGGTTTCAATCTACCACATAAGTATTGGGGATAAACCTCACCTATTGTAGATCGTTTTAATATGAGCCTAGTCTAATAAAACATGCCCTATCCAAAAGAGGGCCTATTATGAGTAAGCAAAGCTGACACAAATTTCTATAAAAATATCGTAGTATGGAGTATTTTTTAAAACAGCTTAATTAGTCAATAACATACACTTGCATAGTACACTTGTACAATGATCTAGCGTTTTAGACGCGCAATGTGCGAAAGCTAATGTTCAACATTATAATAGTAATCCCTTTTTTAGCTTGTCAACCTCATCATCCATTTTTTACTAGACATTGTACTTTTGATTTTGTGTGCTAAATTGTGTAATAATCAAAATACGTATAGCTTGAGTTACTTTGTTGATTTGGCTAAATTTTCTAAAGAGGATAATTTTATCTTTTCTCATATTACTTTTTCTTTTTTCAGTCAATAAAATATATTTTTAACAAAATTCTCATAATCCAGCTGATTTGATTCAACTGTTTCGACCCATAACTTCAACCATTTCAGTGGATTAACCGGTTCAGCCAATTTGATAGTTACCTACTGTGTTCTAAATTTACGTAACACGCAAGATAAGGGTGGGACTTGTTTGTGCGAAAAATACACATAAAGAATCCATAATAACCTCCCTAACTTTGGTGTGTTTGTTAGTGATTGGACTCAAATTTAACACAAACTGAATGAACCTGTGAAATATGACTCTCATTCTTATTATTGATAAACCAAAAAACATTACAACAATAATTATATTTATAGCTACAACTAGGGCTACTTATACAAAGTGGGCTAAGCCCAATGCAACTAAGGTTAGGGTTTCAACACTCCCCTTCAAGTTGGAGCATATAAATCATATGCACCAAGCTTGTTACAAATATAATCTATTTTAAGACCTCGAAGAGATATTGTTAAAACATCCGCACGTTGATCTGTCGTGTTGACATAACTTGTGATAATTTGTTCAATCAAAATCTTCTCTCGAATGAAGTGACAATCAACCTCAATATGTTTTGTCCTCTCATGAAATACTGAGTTAGATGCAATGTGCATTGCAGCTTGGTTATCACACATCAGTTGTATCGGTTTCATGTTTCTGAACCTTAGTTCTTGAAGAAGATGTTTTAACCATAAAATCTCACATGCAGCAAGGGCCATTGCAGGCACTCTGCTTCAGCACTTGATATCGCAAAGACATCTTGTTTCTTACTCTTTCATGAAATCAAGTTTTCACCAATCGAGATACAATATCCAGAAGTAAAACGTGTATCTGTCGGACATCCGGCCCAATCTGCATCACAATACCCCACAATGTTATTATGGCCTCGGTTTTCGTAGAGTAACCCTTGACTTGGTGTTTTCTTTATGTATGTCACTATATCAAAACTCGGGTAGTTGCATCCCAATGGCCATCACATGGATTATCCAGAAACTGGCTAAGCACACTTACAACAAAAGATATATCCGGTCTTGTGATTGTGAGATAGTTCAACTTCCCAATGAGTTTTCAGTATCTCTCTCGATCTGGTAAAAGCTCCCCTTGTTTATGTATTATGTAATAGTTTGACATTTGGATCCATCGGTGTATCTACTGGTCTACACTCCAGCATACGTGCTTCCTCAAGAATATCCAACGCATACTTCCTCTGGGAAAGGACAATACCATTGCGAGACTGTGCGACCTCAATACCAAGGAAATATTTTAGTTTCCCCAAATCTTTTGTTTGGAATTTGCAAAAGAGAGACTCCTTGAGTTGAGTGATTCCCTATTCATCATCACTTGTTTCCTGTGGAATGTCTATAGAA